TCAATTTTTCACCATAAATCTTTGGGTTTACTACAACATTAAAATTTCCAGTAAAAGCAGGGTTTTATATACCTGAACTCTAATGGCCTATTCTGAAAATATTTATGTCAGGAAAAGCATGGTATTTGCATGCCAAAAGCAGTTTTAGTGCCAATGTTTAGCATTCCCTTCCCATTTAACTCCTTCCGATCTACTCTGCAAACCTCAGGCAGGCTTCCTCGTGCTCCCCCAGCCTCTGTCCTCCTTCACACGCAGAGTTGAAAAGGAGGAAACTCCAGATCGAGTTTCCAGATCAATCAGCAGTGAAAAGCTGGACACTTCTAATAAAAGGCCACTGCACAAAGGACTCATGTGGTGGCTCAGAGCACAATTTACAGAGTGCCCTTAACCACTGATTTTACCTCTGCACTTTGCCAGTGCACCTCTTAATTTCAAAGGGAATTAACAGCCCAGGCAAAGCGAAGGGCCAAGACAAAAGGATGGGAAATTAGGCAACCTCGTGCCTTATTTCAGGAATAACAGGATGAAATTCACTTTAATTACATGAGGTTGCTGCAAGTATGGGTAGTGCTCCCTTCTTTCCATTCCCAAGTTAAAATGAAGGCATGCGGCTGTGAGCGCCAAGTCTCTTCAGCTTCCCCTCCTTCAAGGCAAAGGCATTTTTACTYTGTGAGAAGGCAGAGCATTTGACACCTATCTGGACATATACAGTGGTCTGCAGGACTGAAACCACAAAGGAGGATCAATTTGATCTACTAATTCTACTATAAATTGATTGTATCTAGGTGTGCAGGCCAACAGCCTTACATGGGACTCTTGGAAGTAGTAAAGTTGATATTACTTTAGTACTTGCAAGCTGGGAATTCCTAAATTTAAGAGAGGCTTAGAATCACATTTTTTCTTTCTTCCCTACTTCCTTCTAGCCACAGCTTTTCAAGATAACTCATTAATATAAGCAGAACTTCTCAAAATGTAGCAAACATACAGGAGCACAACAAGTCTCTACTTGCCTGATCTCTCAGGGCTCTTAGGTTTGGGTTTTTTTTTTGTTTGTGTGTGTGTTTGTTTTTAGGGAATAAAATTAGATTTCAGCATCTGTCACCATCCAGAAAAAGATTCATCCCTGGCTCCCACATGAAAACATTGTAACCAATGCACAGTTACTGAACCATGATGCCTTAATGATCATTACACAAATCAACTTTTTTTTATTTGAAATAACGAAATTAGGAATGTGCTTCCATAATTATTTGAATCAGACTGTCAGGTTACAAATTTAATAAAATCTCAATATGATTAAATCGTTAAAGCAAAGTATACCATACAAATGCATGTATGTGGGGGTTCTTTTCCTTTTTTTCACTTATTTAGGTGTGCTGAATAAATTTTAGATAACAATTTTATAAATAATACCCTAGTCCCATCAAAATCTAAATAACCTGGGAGCAGACACCCATCACGTGGTGTCTTTCATTTGTATGCTGTTTTCTAAAGCTCGCTTTCCAAAATAGCCTAATAAAATAAAAGTAGGCCTATTAGGCAGACCAAACTCAATAAAAAATGCAAGATTTTAAATATTGACATTACGTATTTTGTTCTAAAACCCAGAAAAGAAATTATGCATTCAAGCAATTGGAGTTATATCATCTTGCTTAGATTCTATGTATAAACACAGCAGCTGATAAAATTCGCATTTTGTTTTAACAGACATTTTGCGGATAACGTATTGATCCTTACAATTCTTAAGGAGCCTTAAAATTGTTAAAGACCTAGGCATCCTCACAGGAGAGGGAATGCATATGCCTCTGTAAAGCAACGAATTTCCTATGGGAAGGACTCGCCGAGCTCGGTTCCCAACATCCCTGCCGCCGATGCAGCCCATCCTTCAGGAAAGCGACCGCGCAGTTTTTGAGGGAACCACCGCCGCGGCGCACTGGGAAACTGCTCGTATGCACAAGAGCCCTCCCTTAAGCCAGGGCCTGATCTTAGCCCTGCTGTCACCAAGGTCTCTTCCTGCCCTCGTCACTCCTGCCTTGCCTTGTGCTGAAACCTCTGCTGGACAAGGCCTCCGCCACCCGCCCTGGCAGCAGCGGGCCTGTCCGCAGGCCCCTCACACCAGGCTGCTCTCATCCAAAGCACTAAGGCAGCACAAGGGGCGATTATCGAGTTTTACCTCCATGCTGCCTATATAGAAACTCAGGTGGAGCAGCACTTCATAGTGGATGTGCTCCGGGTGCCCTGGTCTGCACGGTGTTATCGGCAAGCCAAGCCACCTTGCAGCCGCTGGCTGCCCAGAAGCCCAGTCTCATCTTGACACAAACCAGTTTACTTAAAAATAATAATAATAAAAAAAACCCTCCAGCAGATCCCTGCCTTTGTGCACTGGAGGACCTCCACTGGATCACGTACTGGGCTGTGCTGTAACTCCAAGAGTTTACATTCAGCAGTTAATCAAGTTTTTATATCCAAAATAAAAAGACAGGAATGTTCGATTTTTGCCAGGTTTAAAAACAAAGATTTTCACCGGCACATCATTTTCTACTACGTGTCCTCCAGACTTTGCATTTTAGCTGCAGGTGATAATCCCAGAATTTCCATTTCTGAGTAGGAAACCTATATGCCCAAATAGAAAAGGCAATGAACCTCTTCATGAACCATTTAAGAGCCTCTTAAAGAACCTTTAAGACAAGTGTCTTTTGTGTGCGTTGTGTGCAAGAAAGATCTTTTCCCTAAGAAATAGTTCTCCTTTGCACTGTAGGCAAGCTCCAGTRCAGAATTTTTTACATGACAGCTATTGCCTGCAGCACACGTGGCTTGCTACATATTTAAAAAAATATTGACTGCCTGATTAGCAGTCAAATGGTTAGCGAAAACCAAACGCATTCCATTTACCTCTGGGGTTATTTCTGTGAAGCAGATTTCTACTACACTTTGGCTAACTACAGGCTGTTACTCTATCCTTCGGAAGGTGTCAGTCTTGAAAACTTGCTTAAATACATAAATTAACATTACATTGCTTAAATCCAGGAGCAAAGTAACCTCTGAGGATAAGGGCTTAATATCCACAAYGAACAAGAAGAGAACTGGGTGTTTTCTTGCGTTTGCATTGTATACACAAAACATAGCTTGTGCAAAATTCTTAATTTTGTACAAATACTAATACAAAAAAAAAAAAAAGTCGCTTCATCCTCTGGGAGATTTTATGCCTCACCTTGATTACTCATTTCTTTTACAATTCGCTTCGGGAGAGCTGTCCTGCCTCAGAATTTTAAGACTATATACTTCAATAAACACAGTGCCACACAACTAAAGTCTTATCAAAATCATATGGGCTGATAGATCAGATTCACACCTTAACTCTACTGAGTGTGACCAAGGGAAGGGGAAGGTGTAGAAAACAGACAATCCTCTAACTCCTAGCCTTGACATGTAAATAAAGACATCTGAGGAGCACACAGGTTGGAAGCTGCAGTAACATTCTATCATAATTAGAAACATTTCAAGAGCCCTGTAATTTCCAATCAAAATTACAGTAATTTCCGATATACAAGCCATGATTCATGACAGAATTTTTACATTCCATGGGAGATTATAGTGGCCTGATGTATGACACACTGAGTACAGCACTAACATAAACAATTCAGTTTAATGTTTAAACAGCACTTGGTGTTTAGAATCCCACAATAAAAGAAACATATTATTGTAGAAATTATCACTTTGACAGTGATTGAAGGGTAGGCAGGCATGTGGCCTATAAAGCTATAATTTTTACAGTCCACAGCTTGAGTTTAATCATTTTGATAYAACATTTCCAAAATATCCCTTTACATGTTCCTTACAGCATATAACTTAAGAGACAACATCCTTTCTGTACAATGAAAAGGTGTAATCTCCAAAATGTGAACACCATAGATGTCAAAAGTTAAATAGTACTAGAAAGCAAAGAGGCAAAGAAATACTAAAGGCCCAAGAAACATTAGGCTAACTGATCATTACACCGMCTTTCACTGGAAGAATACTGCATTTTTCTATGAAGCCTTATTAGAAACGTAAAGGAAAGAAATGACTGAGTAGACTTAGCATTTCATCTAACATGAAAATTTAACATTGTAGTCATTGATGCCTTTAACAAGTCTTTCAAGTTTCATAAAACCATGGGTCTCATCTTTCCCATTTTTCTGACTTGCTTGGTACATTCTCACTTAGGTCATGGTTCCACACAGTCAGACTTCCTTACAAGACACCTAACTTGGGATAAGCATGAGCAGCAAGAGAAGACCTTGCTTGCTTAATTCCCTCTCCTGCCACTAAACTTGTCAGAAATATTTTGTTTGAAAARAAAAAAAAAAAAAAAAAAAGTAGTGAAGTAGTGCACTGCACGACAAGGGCTTAAGACTGATTATGCAACATATATGTGTGCACATGTACAGGTAACCAAGCAGCCTTTGTAGTCCCTAAAGATCAGACAAGTTTTCTCAGGTTTAACTGGGATGACTGCATTTTTTCTCGACTCAGATGTCGGCCCCACTTCCAGGACACATCCTTAGGAGCAGGTCCGTTTCACCGGGCTCCATTTCTAATAAACTGTTTTCACAAAAACCAACCCCTCAAGCATTCCTGGTTACAAGCCCATGCAATTGCAAAACACCACAGCCGCCAGATTAACTCTGTGGCAATATATACAGCTCTCACACAGCTTTTTCCTCATTCACACCRACTATGAATTTATGAAACGGGTGCWTTCTGAGCTGAACAAGACCTGCAAGCATACAAGAAACACCGATGGGGAAGAGAAGACCATAGCTCAGGAAGCCACTTCTCAACTGGGTCCAGTGAATGGCAACCATGCATTGTCTTTACACTCAACGCTAAGATCTAAGTCATGGTCCTGCTCTGTTGTGCTAACCCAGGCAATCATTACAGCTCACACAAAACCAGATCCAAAACAGATCTGGTGGGAACAGGGTGGGAAAAAAGCCGCCATGCCTGGGGAACCTTACCTGGCTTTTGGTTGCTGCAACCTTTGCGAACAGTGCTTGAGACACCTTAGCTCTCTTCATTTCCTGCTGAATCTCATCATAAATGGAAGCATTAATGTTCATGGAGTTATTTTCTGTTTTTCCATTCCTCTCTGTAGCAATAGTAGCAGTTTTGACCTAGAAAATATATTTTGAGACWTTTTTTTATTATGAAAAACAAGCTATTTTTCCTTTCTTCCCCTGCCCCCCAGTAGTCATCCCTTCCATTTTATTCCTTTTATTCAAATCTCTTCAGATAATTCTCCAGCATTTCAGAAACTCAGCACTGTAAGTTCCCCACAGCTCAGGCAAATGTGAAACCAGAATATTTAGCATATTGTAACAGGTGAAGGCAGCTGAACTGTGAATATTGTCAGATGACCACTGTGAATTTCAATGTCATGAAACAAGTTAGGTGGACACCTTTCAAACAGCCTTATAGAGACTTGTGAATCCTTACAGGAGTCCTCTGCTCTGCAAATTAAGAATAAATTGTAACTATAGCATAAAAGAATCTCAAAGGAAAATAAAAGCACAGGCATATCTTGATTCATGCCTTAGATCTAGTGCTTCAAATGCATGATAGTGTATAAAAGTTGCCATTTTAGATTTAAATTTCTCTTTAACAATCGTGTTGTCAGTTTAATTTTGAAGCCATTTTAAAAATGTCTATTTAAATATACTCAGTCACTAAATCAAGATAGGGCTTTCTTAAAACTATTAAGTACTGTATTTTATTTACATACAACAAATCTATTTTTAATATTTATTCTTCTTGCAGTCCCATTAAAGAAATAAAAAAGAATGAAAACATGACCAAATGATCACTCCACTGCTACTTTTATTTTCGCTGCATGTGCATGTGTGTTAAGGAAAACCAGAAAAATAGATCAGTGGTGGCATGAAGCACAGAATATTACCCTTTCCCTCATCACAAAGTTTCTGGAAATGATGGAATTGATGCTTCAGCACCAAGAAGCATGCCACCAAGGTTACAGTGCAGTTTCTGCAGTACACTTTGAGAAGGACAAAAAAATCAGCAGGAGTTTTGAGAATTTTCCAAGAATATCCCTTCAGTAGCCCCTCCATACATAACAGTTTTCTTTAGCAGCTCTGCAGGCAATTCTTGCCTGACAGTAGTGGACCTAGAGATGAAGGGGCAGACTGGATTTCTGCCAGGAATCCACAAGGTGATGATGCAAATTCCAGCTTTTTGATTTTGATTCAAACCTACTGATTCATACTGAAACTGCTGTGAGCTCCATTAATTTAGCCATTGAGAAGTTAGATGTATAGCCTAAATCACTCAGGCTACCTCTAAGGTTAACAGACAGAGCAAGGTACTTCTAGAGGGTGATTCAGCCTCTTCTCAGGGATGTGTCCAAAACCACAGTTTCACTATCAGTTTAATCCAAGGCAAGTCAGCACCTTCCTGTGCTCTGAAGCCCCTCAGGGTTCCAAGGGAAATGACGATGACAGGATAAATCATCTTTTAATCTCACTCTGCATGAGCTTTCATTTGTCATGGGATCTCATGTGTGAGTCAAAGGCTTTGGGTGAGAGACATACTTAAGTAAACCACCAGATCATTTTTTCCTTGAAATGTCATGCTTAATTCATGGTAAGTGCCTTCTATGGTACCTTTAAGATAAAATAAAATAGTGCAGAATCTGTGAGGGCATGACACTTTTGCTGAGCTCAATTGTCTATCAGATGTTGGAGGAGCAATGTTCCTACCTGCCTATCAGCTGCAAAGGGAAAAACCTCAGGGAGAACAAATCATGTAC